TTTTATATACAGTAGTAAAATTCATCATCATCACATCACCAGGCAAAATGAGGCGTCAACAAATTTCTCATGATCTTTTATTAGCGATTTTCGGCAATCATAGAGATCTAATTATTACTGTATATGTGATGTAAAATTAATCATCATTGATCGTATGTTTCTTTGTTGTTTATGTACTTTTGTTGCCATGACAAAAACTAATTTCATATTTTTAATTTGACAAAATAAAGCTATCTTTTATTGTAGGGGATCTTGTATCTAATATGAATCGCTGCGATAGAAATATAAAACATAATTGTCTTCGATTTATCTACATTACTTACTTCATGAGCCGAAAACCAATTTATCTTTACACACTTTTTCTCATACTTGTATAATAAAAGCACGCACTCGAGTCGTGTACTACAGTTAATTCAGATGTTTGTGGACAGAAAACACCGGTATCTTGTTATGAAATAAGATGTTCTCTGTCTGTACAGTGGTTTCTTTAAAATCTGGTAATTTATGCTGTTCAATTAAACAATTTCCAGGTATATTCTTGACTTCAATAGGAATTTACCTTGCGGACGAAACGTGAGGGGGGGCCACCCACTTAAAATAGTTGGGTACGTGTCGCCTGTCACCCCCGTCCATGCTATTCTCCAGAAGACAAGGCATTATACAGTAATTCGGCATCGAATCCTGAATTTACGTGATTTCCAACATTTTCTTTATATGAAGAGAGTAGAATAGTAGGCCTTTCAAATAAATTAATTATCAGTCATTATTATATTTCTTAAAATATCAGCAATTGTTTTACACTATTTGCCAATAAATTTGTTTTATTGTATTGGCTATAAAATTTTATAGCACACACTGGGCAGGCCTCACAATTTGTCAATTAATCGTACCTATCAGTATTTAAAATTAAAATTGAATTATTGTCGTAGAACCATCTACCCTGTGAAATTAAATATTACAGAGGTTACTATCTAACAATTTCAGTTTTACTCCCGTGTTTACATTCTGGGACGTGACGTACGTACGAACTTGCGTACGTACATACGTGTTGCGTAAAGGAGTACGCGCAGACTGTTGAAGGTATGTTAACCAATCAAAAGCGTCAGCGGGAAATCAAATTAAAGCGCTTCGTAACCAAGGCACAGCACACACATCGTAGGCAGGGCGTATAAGCCCAGTGAAATAGTTCAGTTTTCTTTGCTATAAAAATCACCTATCCCGTGGGTATATTTTGGTAAACTTTTTGTATGTTGTAGATTTAAAATTTAACTATATATATTCATAAAAAAACGTTTTGTTGCAATTATGTCCAACTTTGGTGCTTCAAATCCGTATTTCTGGTGGACTAAAACTGTTTCGCGCGCTTGGCCTAGGATACACAGCCTAGGCCTCTGCTTTCTAAAGAAGTGTGTGTGTATCGGAGTGGAGTACTACAGTATGTAGTGCGTGGAGTGAGACTGTTTTTATTACATACCTGCTTTCTTGGGCCTATACAATTTCAACCTCCAAATCACAACATCTATGTCAACATTCAAAGATGTATCTTCGCCCAATGCGTGCATTACTGCATTAAAGATACTCTCTAATGTAGACAATTCTCGTAGGTCAACAAACAGCAACTCGTGGTACTCTATCTGGCGATAGCATGCCTCTTTTGCTAATCTGGTTTTGCCCATACCAGGAAGTCCACTGATGCAGATAGTTGCCACTTCATCCTTTCGTTTTTCTTTCAGGAGAAAAAACAGCTCGTCCAGTCGGTCATTCCTACCAATGAATGGGCCTTCAGAAGCCGCAGGATGCCTGTGACAATGTCTAGCAACAACGGCATACTCTGAATTGTATCTGTTAAGCTCCTCGATCAAGTCATTTCGTCCTATCTTCGAGAGGATATGCCTCAGTAAAAGGGTATCACCTTCGTGGAAATGATTTCCTTCCTGTAGCTTATCGAAGAAATCAAAAGTGTCCTTGATTTTCTCGAAGTTTCTAGCACCAAGTCTGTCTTTCACCAGAAACTTCGCTTTCTTCAACTCAGAATTAGTGATCTCGTTGGCCAAGCATACTATAAGCCACCGAAAGCGACTGATAGAGCGTGGATCGATTTGACTCTCCATGTTCACCTTCGTCTCGCGTCTGTTTGTGCTATGATGACGTAGTCGTAATTTATGTAGCTACATCAATATTCCTGAGAGATACATACACACACACATTAAATATGCAGGCCTATGCGATTAATATTATTAACAATGCTAATGTGATATGAAAAAAAAAAAAAACTAAACGCCCGACAAAGCGGGAATTAGCCTATAATAAATAAAAATATTTTGACATTTTAAATAACACAATAGGCTATAGTGTTCTCTTATACACATCT